GGGAAAGGATTCAGTTAAAAGGATTTGGCTGGAAACAGGGAACCTTAAATGTCAAATCCGTGCATCCAAACATTTGACAGCAAGAATACCATTTCCCCCCCACTAGCCCAAGGGAGGGCAGGTGCTCAGAGTTGATTGCTCAAAGAGTAATAAGCTAAACCTGCCTCTCCTCTCTCCATCATCAGGGCCTGCAACTACCACAACAGCTGCAGCTGGGGGGGCCTCTCCTTTAGTCAGGGAGTCCAACAAAACATAAAAGTTAAAAGGGCCTGAGTAATCATTGTCAAAAAAGCTGCACACTCACCCCCACAAAGCAGCACGTTAATTCTCCCTCTGCCAGTCAACGAGGCATGCTCGGGAACTTTGCACGGCTGTTGTATAACCAGCCGTAGGAAAGGCTGCCCAGTCTTAAATCCCAATACACCCCCCACCCAAAATGCAATCCTCTGTGCTGCATCTTGACTGGGGAGAATTTGTTTGTTTAAAAACACCAACCCATTCTGGCGTTCCAGGTTCCTTTCCGGCAGTGGAAGGGGGCAGGTAGCCTTTGCCCAGGTTGCGAACCCATCAAAATGCAAACCAACCAGTTAGCACAGCTCACACTAAACGTGTTACTGCCCAAAATGGGTGATTTCTAAAAAACCCTTGCCATTCCACAATTAAGCAAAAAAAAATTGGCTTTCAAAACCCTCCATTGTCTACACAAGAAAGATTCATTCTAACCTACATGTTCTCCATGTCTAAAACTCCACAAAGTGCACACATCCTTATCCTTTAACACACTCCATAATGAAAACAGAGTAAGACTGGTATGGGCCAAGGCAATTTGAGATAGCAAGCAAAGCCTCTATCCTTCTGGCAGTAAATAAAAATGAACCGAGTCTGTGTGCCCATTCCTTCTTTTCCACTCAACCAACTACCTCTTACTTCATTTAGACTAGAGGACATAACGCCTTAATAAACTTCATTTTTAAAAAAGCATTAATAAATGACTTTTCTGCCCATCATGTGCCCCAAGGCAATGTACATTGAAACACTGGATAAAGCCAGAAGAGAACATAACTTTTTAAAAAGACAGGCTTTGGCGGGAAGAAGGACAATTAAAAGTCAAGGGTTACTGAATGCTACTTTAAAGGTTTGCAGGAGCAAGCCTTCTCTCGGGCCAACTCCAAAAGTTAAGATCAAGTCTCAAAGTGCCAGCCAGCTACCACTATTGATTGTGGTCAAAACAAACTCTTTCCCTACTTTGGACGCCATAAACAGCCTATGGGCGGCATCTGGCAAGGCTGGTTTTCGCAGAGAAAATTGCATTACTTCGTGACTAGGGACATGTGTAGCCCTCCAGACCTCTCTTTTCCTTCCCCCAGGTCAGGTTGAGAAGAAGTTGGGTGTCTGATTCCCTCAATTGTGCCTCCTTGATAGGGGCTGGACTCGATGGTCCAGAGGGTCCCTTCCAGCCCTGCGGAACTAAGGAAATCACTAAGGAACTACTAGCCAAAGCCCACTCGGTGAACTGAACGGCTCAGCGAGGCTTGACTTTAAATCTCAAGGGATTTCTGTTTCTGGGCTCAGTTTTTCTCTGCCTGAAACAAGAGCCCCCCCCCCCAAGGTTCAGCAGCTGGATAAATAAAGTGCAAAACCGCGCACCACACTCTTAACCCAAATCAAAACCCACCTCCTTTCCATGAAGTGCACAAGCAAATAAGAAATGTGATACTGACTTTCTCCCGAGGTCCTGCCATTCACAGCCACACTGCCACCATCCAAGGAGGCTCCATTTTGCCTTGTAGGCCAAAGGTTGGCAAGAAGTCTGCCGCGTGAACTGCCAAAGCCTTTTCTTGAAGAGCCGTCTAGACAAGCAGCGCTCCCATCTAGTCCACGCTGGATTCCCCCTGCAAGATTCTTGGAAAGACGAGTTCCCTTTTTCTCTGCCCAGACACGACAACAATTTGTGCGGGGACAGGAAAGTGCATGGGAGTTGGAAGAATCTGTGAGGAGAGGTGCGTAGCCCCTAAGCTCAGCTGGAAACGTCAAGGGCCTTGGAGGGCTGGAGCGGGTGGTGGCTGTAGGTCAACACACCTGAGGAGCACCCAGGTAAGGGAAGACTTGCCTAACTGCACTTTGGCCCTAGTGCAGGGAGAGTCTGGTTACTGGTGGAGGCAGTGGTGGGATCTTTAACAAAACAAACAAACAGGCAAAATGCCCCTTTAATCAGCAACACAATAAAACAGGCATTGAACCGGAATGTGACATAAAGGAAGCAGCCAGTTAAGTACATACACAGGCAGCAATGCTTGGAAACTGGCCAGCCCTTATAGCTTACCACTTCTGCAAAAGGAAAGTAATCACAAAGGTGCATTATCCCTCAAACAGAGAGCAGGTGAGGCGCTGCTGCACCTGTGGTCCGGATTGTACCACTCCAGACTGCCAGCAAGTGTGGAGGAAGTGCACCCTTTGGACATTCTTCCTCTCTGTCTGTCTGTCTGTCTGTCTCTCTTTAGCTATCTGCTCTTGCACACAAACAGTGACTAGGCGACACAAAGGGAGATTATATATGTCTAAACTAAAATGAGAAAACTGAGGCTGTAATACTTGGGTTTACAGCAAGAAGACATGACTTGTGCGAAAAGACAGTCAAGGCGAAAGGCAGCAAAAAGGGAAGGACACCAGATGCAACACAGATTTGACTCCATAAAGGAAGCAACAGCCTTGGCTTTGCAAGACCTGAGCAGCCCTGTCATTGACAAGGAGGTCCTTTTGGAGGTCACCATATCACAGAGTGGTTGTTCTCATTGGGAAGGGCAGGACAAAACAACACAGGACAAAACAACACAGACAAGTAGTACATCAGGCGCAACTCTTGTTCCAACATGCTAATGTGTTAGGAAAAATGATTTTTTTTTGTCTGAACGGGGAGGGCTTTCAAGAATGAATGAATGAAGAAGCACTCAGCAGGTAAGACTTTGACCTGAGTCAAACCTGGACAGTAGAGAAATTCAGCAAGCCTCCTCATCTGTGAGAACCAGACCTTACTTGAAAGGGGTGAAGGGGACTCAAGGAGATAAACATTCCAAAGAACATCTTGAGGGTACGAACTGTTCCGCAGTGGAATGGAGCACCTCGAGATCTCTTTTGTGGGAGATGTTTCAACAGAGGTTGACTGACCTCAATCAGGGAAGCTTGAGCTGTGGATTTCCAACCCAGATAAAACTGCTGGACTAGATTGCCCTTTGGAATCCCTTCAAACTCTACAGATCTGTGGTTCTATCTTGTTCTAATCAAACTGGGTAGAATATGAATTTGCTGCAGTTGTTTGCAGTGAAGAGGAAGGGACCAGGATAACACACCATGCAGTTTTATGTTTCAAAAACAGTTTCTAGTGGATCTAAGCAACGAGGGAACCCTTTGCCCCAAGATTTAAATGGGAAAGAATCAAGTACAGGGTCACTGCAGTGCTGCCTATACACTGCTATTTCCTTGGAGAAATCACACTGCTTTGAAACCAAAGGATAGAAGGGCCCAGAAAACTGTTGCCGAAATCCTGTGGTCAGCCCAACCAAAACAGACTAGCTGATTCAGCTTGACGGATCCCACTGATCCGGTGAGTCTACTCCAATTGGGACTAGCAACCAGAGACAGGCCTGTATTGGGGTTTGGGAGGTGCGTTTCTGAAAACGCCTATGTTTTATCTTCCAGGGTTGCCCAAGCCCTTTATCAGCCACATGCCCCCCCTCACGACATGCAATTTTTTCCATATTAGCTTGCAGACTGCATTATCTCTCTGTCCAGCCTGCTACCCCCCCCAACACACTTCTCCCGCCCAACTCTGCAATATGACTGATCTCATTTCCATAATAGGATTGTAACCATGGATGTCAGAAGTAGTGCAGAACCAGGGGGAGGGAGGGAAAGAGACAGCATTGTTAGATCATCAGTGAGGGAGGGCTTGGTTTAGCTCATGCGCCGCCTCGCCGCCTCCCCCCCTCCCGCATTATCCATATATTAGTGTTTATCAACAGAGGCATAAACATGAGGACAGCAAGTGTCAATGCTGAAAAAACAATGACCTAGGCAAATCAATTTTACAAAGGGAGATTTTTAAAAAAAATAAGCCTCTGGCAGGCGCCGGCAGCTGCCTTTGATAAATATGGGGGAGAGGAGCCTTTGAAATGGATTTCAAGATCCTATTTCTCAAGGGGTGGGGGGTGGAACTGCTTACAGCTAGAGCTAATATCCTTGTTTATATGGAAAGCCCTGCACAATTCTCTGGGTGCATTTTTAATTTATTTTCTTAGGTTAGCATTTCCCCTTGGGCAAATTAGGAGCAGGATCACAAGAAAGCTGTTTTGATTTCCTTTGGAAAATAAAAACAGTGAGCAGCCCTCCTCTTTAGGAAACTGGCCCTCTATTTAAACCTGGGGCCAAATCATTGTGGAAGCACACCTTAATAGTTGGGAAGTCACAGTTCCTGCCTGATTCAAAAGAAATTAAAAAGAAAGCTATTATGTTATGAAAGATTATTTTGTCTTGAATAAGGAAACAAAACAACAGATGCAAACTCTCTTTAAAAACTATCTTGGGCCAGGAAATCAAGTGTCAGGCAAATTAGCAGCATCACCAACATTACACAAGTGCAAGAGGAAGTGATACCTTTTTTAGACCACTAAAAGAGGTTAACAAACAGCAAACCTGGTGGGTCAAGTTCACCTCTGCAGGTCATGCACTGAGGACAGCACAGACCAATTACAAATATGAGTGTCCCAAAGAATCATGGCAGGTGATTGTGCCCCCACCCCAGCCTGATTCTCGGAGCTAAGTTCAACAACTCTGAATGCAAATTCACCATCCTTATCCTTTGAAACATTGGTACGGCCCTATAACCTTCTACGCCGTTTATAAACATAACCAGATGCAACTGTTTCTTTTTAAAGGGAAGGGGGAAATAATTCCACTTGTAAGACGCTGAAAGGGAACTGTCCACACATGGAAAGGTAACTCACCTGATTTAAATCCTCGTCATTGAGTAAGTGCGACTCTCGAGGTTTAAAACAATTCTGGCATTTGCTCTTGTTAAAAATGTTAGCTTGAAATTTCCTGCAGGGATTATCTTTAGTAGACATGGTGTTGTCTATCCAGGAAAAAAAAAGATGAGGATTCCAAAGAGAAAAGACCAAAAAAAAACTAGGCCTATTTCTTCCAACTTTTTGTCCAGTATTTTAAAACGGGAAGGAATTGTGGAAGGGGGAAGGGGGGAAAAATTCCCTAACACAAACAAACAGAGGCGAGTTTTTGTTCTTTGTATAAATATTTATCTACTTTTTTTAAAAAAGGGGGGAGAGATACTTAAAAGCCACGAGTTGAAATTGACAAGGGCTCAATTGGGTTCATCTGCTTCCCAGGCCGCCATAAGCAATCCAAAGCAAACGCGGAACCGAAGTAGATTAACATCCCAGTTTTCCAGGACAAAACCGGAGGGTGGGGAACAGTAGAAGGGAAAAGGAGAGGGGGGGCACCCGGAGGTGGGGTTGAGAAGGAAAACGGAGTCTGTCCTGGAGCAGGTTGATGAGCCGGTTTGCGACTAGCGGCGACAGCTCCTGGATTCGAATCTACCTCGATTCAAACGAGGTTGTCAAAGATCCGTGTTGGGGGGAGGGTCGGTGGGGGAGGAATTCCAGCTGTCAAGGCAGGTTGGCTTAGAGTGGGAGAAGAACCTGGCCCTGCAAATGCCAAGAGCGCACAGCGGCCCGCACTCCTCTCGGGAAGGAAAAAAACTAAACAAAACGAGGAGGGGAACAAACACTCCCAACGCGATTTTGAAAAGAAGATAAAATCTCTCGCCCTCGGCGGAGTCGGGTCTCTTCTTTCCCCGCGTCAACGTCCTCCGAAGGCACAATGTTCACGCCAGCCTCCCAAATCCGTCTTCCGGCCGCTCTTCCTCGACCGCGCCGGCCCGGGCTGCCCGAGGAGATCCGCGCCACCCATGCCTCTTCAGCGCATTATTCAGATAATCCAGATTCTAATTCGGTCTCCGTTGCGCTAAAATCTAGTGCGCCCCCTCCCCTCCCGCTCTTTTTTTTTTTTGCAGGGAAAGCTAACCCGGCGGAGGGAAAGCAGAGCCCTCGCCTTAGGCCAAAGGAGCAATGCAACTTCTCTCTAGCGCCGCCGCCGCCGCCGCCGCCGCCGAAGGGGGTGGGAGGAGGAGACGAGGGCGCAATCCTGCCCCAGCTCAGCCCCGCTCCCGAGCAGCGACAAAGCTTCGCCGTTCCACGCACAGGCCCCGTTTGCACCTCCAGCCACCGCCTCCTCCTCCTCCTCCTCCTCCTCCTCTGCTTAGGCCGCCCATCCAAACTGGGGCGGGGGGAGGAAGAAGAAGAAGGGGGGGAAACCGCCTTGGTTTCTCTGCCTCCTTTTCCCGCCCCTCCCCGTCTCGCTTTCCTTTTAATTATTTCCCCGGATTTACTGCATGCAAGGATGCCCTCCTTATGCGAAACCTCCCCACTCGTTTCACGACCCTCCACCCGACCCCCTTCCCTTCTTTTGCATCAAATATTTGTCCAGAAGAGAAAAGAATGGAAAAATTAAAAAAAGAGTG